CATCATAAACCTTATACATGTATTAACCCTTTCGACTCGAATGCCGCCGATTAAAATTCATATAAGTCTCGGAATTCGCGAGTGGAAAGTGTTGAAAGATCTATGATTGAGATTCAACTATTTAGGTAAAATGTTCAACTGTATATTGCGAAAATAAAATTTACGTTTTCATTAAAAATTAATCAACGCAAATGAAGTCTTGCAAATGTAATTATAATATATATATATATATATATATATACTTGTATAAATTAAATGAATTTGTTCATCCAATTTCATTTAAACTATTTCGTTTACTAAAAATATATTCTATTAAAGTGTCAACTGTAATCAGTAGCTACCTACCAAACACGGAACGTATACAGATGATCGGCATAAATTCTGATTAGGCAAAATGCTAAACTATTATGAATTTTTATATTTCAACCGCTTACCGTAGACTTATGATATTTTAGTATGTTGTTTCAGACGTCGGAATCTATCGTTATACAAACTTGCATCAAAATCGTAAAAAGATTCAACATTTAATTCCGAAAAAAGGCCTTAAAAACGAAAAACGAGTCAACTCGATTTCCAACCAATATCTTTTCAACAATTTTTGAACCCTTTTCTGCTAATTACTAAGAAGCGGCTCGAAGCTAAATCGAATTGGCTTTTAAAATTTTGAAATCGTTCCAGGCGTTTTTGAGAAAACAAAAATTGAAAAATCTGGTCCAAATTTGGTGTTATTTGATTCAGAATGACTTGAAATATCAAGAAAACAAAATATTAAGCAAATCGTATTATTTCTAGGTGTAAGTGGTATTTCGTTATAGGTTGCGCAAACTACCCCATATGGTAAATAATCGACACAAGGAAATCAAATTAAGATTTAGCAACTTTTAAACTTCTGACGATAGAATTTAGAAACTTTGTCACAACCAATTATTTCAAAATTTAATAATTTATAATTAAAACACTTATTGTAAAAGCTTTGCAGTATTTTCTTTTAGTACAATATCATGAACACTCATCATAAAAAGTTCTACCAAAATCGTCAAATAAAAAATTTCGTCAATCAATCGACAATTTAAGTTCGAAAATTATTTGCGAAAAACGGTTCACCTGTTCGTCGCAACAAACTAATCCTCGCAAACCCTTTTATATCCTTCATAAAATAGCTTTTAAATTTTTCAAAACAGAGTAGCTGTTTTTGAAATAACGTCGACGAAAAGCCAAATGTGATCTAACACACATATCCACAACATTTCCAATGTTGATGCTGAATGATTCAGCAAATCTGATTTTCTGGCGAAAACAATATTTTCCGGAAGTTAATAAAACAAAGGAAAACCAATTACGGATTATTTTAAGCCTTGATTGAAAAATGAACTCAAGGGCAAGTTTTAGTTTATGTTAGTAGTACATAACTTACGTGCGTAGGTTGATTATTCATTACAAGAAACCTACTGTAAACAAACAATTAAAGACATAGTAAAGAACTTAAATTAGAGTATCGTGCATATACGCACGTGTACTGGAAATTACCGCTGGTTCATAATTTAGGAATAAACTTTATATGCATTATGAATATAAAATTTTTATTTATAAACGCATTGAAGAGATTGTGGAATCATTAGAAATGATATCTGTACCTTTTTAGCGTCCCCAAAAAAATCTGGTTATTTCACATGAATTGTGTAAAATAATATCCAAAATGTGAACGTTTTCTTAAAATATAAAGCAGAACATATATGAGACAATACTCAACGTTAAAATACTTTACATTACTTATGAATTGAATTGGATTTTTTTGTTGATATTTTTTATCAAGACTTAAATTTAGTTTTTTAACTTCCCGTAGGGTAAGTTATAGTAATCGCAAAAAAAAATCGAAAATGAAAATTTTAAAGGTTTCTGAACATTTTGGCATACCTTAGAGAAAATGGATGTATGTGTGTGTGTGTGTGCGCGTGTGTGCGTGCGGATACAAATTTTCGTCGACGATTTCAGGAACACCGATCAACCGATTCGAATAATTCAAAAAACATTCGATTCGTATTGATAAGGATACGTGTTGATTAGTTTTTGGCGAAGGCAGGTCTAGCCGTTCTGAAGATACGGGGCAAAAAGTGCCAAAAATGGTAACTCAGTTTTTAAGAGAACGGACCGTCCGATTTTAATAATTCAAAAATCATTTTACTTGTATTGACAAGATGTAGAATTGGTCAAATTATGAAGGCAGGTCTAGCGATTTCGGAGATCTAATGAAAAGAGTGAAAAAAATGCCATTTGGCATAAATATGATCATTAGACATATGCACACCAAGTTATCAGATATTTTATAGAGATTTTAACAATAAGTATAAATTTTGTTTACATTCCTATGGGTTCGTCCCTATGCAGTTAAAGCAGTACGATTGCTTTGAAAAAAAGTTCATAATTTTCAAAATATGTCAAAATAAAGAAAACATATTTTTCAAAAAAAAAATTTAAAAAAAAAAAAAAAAGTTAATTTTTTCAAATTTATAGTTTCTCAAACATCTAATTTTTTCGAAGTAAAATTTTTTCAAAAATGTTAATCGTTTTTAAAAAAAATAATTATTTTTAGTACGGGAAGTTCCAGCAATTTGCCTTAAGGCACGATACCATGCACCCCACTAGTTTTTTTTAAGATATTAGAATGTTACATGTGCAATTTATACAGAACGTTTATATGTATAATTCAACAAAATGGATTAATATCAATTTGGATAGATATCCATGGTTTATAATTTATGATGCCTTAATAATGTATACGATTTTGAACTAAAATAAAATTCTTATAAAACTAATTTGTGAATTTAGCTACAATAATTGTAATATAATTAATCAAATATTGAAGCGCAATTGAATCCAATTATTACAATCATCACACGAGACAGGTTCAAGTAATTTTTGAAACTTCTCACATACATTACAGAATTGATTTGGTAAAGAAATTTAATATTATATGCATTATCAAATTTTAATCCATTATCTAAATAAAACTGACATTAACAAACTGATAAACATTAGCTTATTGATCAATATCACAATATTTCCGAGAAAGCAATAACTAAATAACTAATTCTAACAATTAACAAAAACCTCAACTATTTGTTTTAAACATGAAAGTTTTGTAAAAATCAAGATAACAAGTACATTTGGTAAATAAAATTATAGAAACACCATGAACCTGTTCAGGTATCAGGACCTTCAGAACAAAAAAATGTTTTGGTTTATAATAGGCTTTACCTTCAGCAAAACTATTAATATCAGTAAAGAATCATTTAAACGTTTTTTTTAATAATTGTTTAGTATGCATCAGCTAATTTGTTTAAACATTTAAATGTAAACATTATATGTGTTTCATACAAATTACACAAATCTGATAAGAATTGTTTATGGTAAAGCCGACTAGGATTTGTACACAATCATATATCAGATTCACAAATCAATATTCTATAAACTTTGTTTTCTTGGGATTAAAATTTTCAAAACAATATATAATAATATAAAGTGATATTGAGTTGAAGTTATAAGGAAATAATATTCATAAATCATAGAACAGTATTATAAATTCACGTTACTAAACATTTCTTTTGTGTCGGTCTTCAAATTTTTTGAAATAACTTTGAAACCAAAAAAATAGGAGGACTAGTAGAATACATTCCATTATATTTCACATCAAGTGGATTTAGATAAAATTTATATTTTTTAATTAAATGCTCCGAATACGGTCAGAATTTTAGTTTATAAAAAATAAACAAATTGCTGTAACAATTATAAACAAAATAAATCTAGTGGACTAAAATCAGATTTTAACGGAAATATATTAATATATCATTAAGCTAGCTCATTAGAATTTTATATGCAAGTTACCGTGACATTCAGATGTCCTTGAATAAATAACAAAAACAATATCAATAAATATAAATTTGAACATGATATTATAACTTCGGAAACATAAATTAAGTTAATACCTTATTTTTTTAAAATAACTACGTGTTTTCAATTATGTAAGATATGTTGTGGCAAGTTAATTGCATAATCTAAATAAACAAAACAAAAATTTTCTCTTAGTTACAACACCGTGTTAATGATAACTAAAAAAATAAATAGGCTTTAGTAAATGAACTACTATTAAATCAATGACTACTAGAGCTTGATAGTTAATTGTACCTTATAAATTGTTTATATATTTTTAAATTGCTTTAAACAAAGATATCATGTGACAGATGATTTTTTTCTGCGTAATTATTTTACAAACGGCTAGGCCGTATTTAAATTATTACGTGAACATTTTGTCATACTTTATGAAAAAATGCTAAAATTTGTTTAACAAAAATCGTAAGTAGAACTAAATAATTCACATTAAATGCAAATAATATGAATCCGAGTACGGAACAATACGAACATACACGAAGAGCAAAATGTGATCATAAAGAAAATTAAAATTTAGATTTACGTTAGATAATTATATATCCTAAAGATACTCATATTAGTAATAGTAATCCAAAATGACAATAAGTTATCTTTGTAATTCACATTTACGTGAACCAAAACTACAAAAATTTATTTATGGAAAGAAAAAAATTAACAAATCAAACGTTTACTAATTATCAATATTAAGATGATTATGGACTTATAAATTCTAGATAGGCGCGAAACTTAAAGAGGGCTTGTCAAAACGTAGAAGTCAAAAAACACATGCTACATAACCTCAAATAATCATCTAGTATGATTTATGAAAAAAAGCTTTGCGATTTGCGCGGTTATTGCTTTAATATGTTGAAACATTCCGTAAAATGCTTTTCTGTCAAGATCAAACGGAGTAATAGTTTCGAATCGCTAGATAACAATATATTTTCAAAGAACCATATAATTAAATATTAAAATAATGTTGTATGCTTATTTATCTATGTTGCTGACAGTGACTCGAATTATATCTCGAATTAAGGCGTATGTGTATGGTGTTGCACAATATTTTTCTAACTCACCCGAATACGCCTCTGCCGTAATGATGGCCCTCCACCCGCCAGGGACAGCCGCCATATTTTCCAATCAACCGGGAATGATGTTTATTCATATTGTAAGTGCTGGCGCGATTTTCGACCATTTTCCTCCTCGATGGATTATAATAAGCTCTCTCACCGTTATTATCCAAATCTCCTATCGGAATAAATTCCTTACACGGTGAGTCCAACATAGGCAATGCGGTTAGTTGTGTATCTTCCATATATGTTCGTTGCGATTCCCAAATGCCTAGCCAGATGAGTTTAGCGGGACAGTCTTGTTCGCGTTGAAACCACGACACTGCGGGATCCATTCACTCATAAAACACACAAAAATATTCACTAGTCCTTTTGCTATAGAAATTGACACAAATCACAAGCTGACCAATTGAACTTTATGAAAATTTTTGATTTTAAAAGTCACACCTTACAGAGCCGTAACACGATCGTGTACGGTGGTTAGACATTAAACTGAAATGAACTCACTCTGGATAGATGGCGCACGATCTAAAATTTCGCGTACGGCAAATGTTCGAGACGTCGAAGTTTCGAAAACTAGATACGCGCGATAATTCAAATTCAATTCTATTTCCTATAAACAATTTTTCGTTCTTTATTTTTTTCATGGCAGTTTATGATCGTCATATTTATCACAAAAACATGGATCATAATATACATAATCGTACATTTTTGTAATATTCATCATCTGTACATAGTGAATAGTGCGTGCGATCATATTTTTTATTATTTCAATTGACACCTATCAAATAAAATTTAATTAAACCATCTGTAGGCTTTTGTTTTATGTATGTAAAAATATATGCTTTCATTTTATCCACAATTTTATTTTTTAGTTGAAGAAATCAATAATATAGCATATTAAGTAAAAGTGCATTTGAAACTAATTATTTTATTATACCGAAGAATGATGAATGTGAAGAATATGTAATTATTATTTAACTGAACATGTTTTTTTTCATTATACCAATTTTTCAATAAAAGGTTATTATAAGAACTAAGAAATCACATTTTATAGCATAAACATTCTGATTTGAAATATTGTCTTATTTATATACTACATACAATGTGATATCAAGTATAAACCAATAATTTTTAGCATAAGCAAAGATTACATAATAGAAAATAAATAATAGAAATATACTTCGAATGAATTGTTAGTTTATAAACAAGGAATTTAGAATGAAATACATATTCTAACAGATTAGCATTCTTTTATTTTGGATGTAATACTATATTAACACAAATAATAATCAGATAACATGTCCTACAATAATGAAGTTTTGTACATTTTTTTAATGGAATGAACTTTCTAAGTTTCAAATACTGCATTTTCATAATTTTTAATCACCAATTAACAATATATACAGAACATTTATATTTAAAATTCTAGATTTCTAAAATTCAGATTGATCTATTAAGATTTTTTCACATAAGCAAAAAATGTTGGTATATAAACATATCTTTATTAAATATATTATTTTTTCACTGGAGCTCTGAATAAAATAAATTATTCTTTGCGATAATTTTTGTGTAATTCTGGTTTGATGTCATAGACCAACTTCAGAATTTCATACATCACCTGAGAAAATTGAATATATATATAAATCTGGTGTAATATATGTATATTTTTGACAATTGTATTTAAACTTACGGGATCCTTTTGAACAGACACAGCTTTGTTCATCTGATCGATTTTGACACGAGTGTCAGCATCAATTCTAGCTGCAACCCTTCCCGTGAGCCCATATGCTAAAATAAAATAAAATCATTAACAAAATTTAGTTTTGAATGAGATTAATATGTAGTTATAATAGTCGTTAAACATATGAAAATATGTAAAATTAGTTTATCAACTAAGTATAAGTTCATTAAGTAAGTATAAGTATTTTGAATAACATATTGATTTAAAATATTTTTAAATTATGCAAGATTTAATAGAGATTAAATTTCAAATTTTCAAATGAAAACAATATGACAATGATAAAATAAAATAATAAATATATGATTAATATCAAATACACAATAACAATCATAAACAAACTAACATTCATTCAAAGCTTTGAAGAATAATTTTATAATTTAATGAATTTTAATCTTGATAGAAACTCGTTTGTCCGGACCTAAGTTATACGAATTTGTGATAATCCGGACTACCAATAGCGACCAATTGATATGTATATACATACCTACAATTCGGGTTTTTGCGTGATTAATGCTGCGGTTTAGTATATGTATGTAATATAATCTAAAAAAATATATATGTACAGACATGAGAAAGTTTCAAATTCCTAATAAAAATTATTTTTGTTGATATCTATGTATGTTTTGTTATTTTTAATAAATACACAACATTATTCTTCATACAATCGATCATCCAGATTTTCAATTATCTGAATGCCTATCGACAACAATTAGTCCGGTTAATCGAGGCTCATGCCTATCGACAACATTTAGTCCGGTTAATCAAGGTTCTACTGTATTATTTTAAATTCTCTCTTTCGAAAATACAGTAATTTTAATTTTTACCTTTGCTTCAAATTCTTTGAATTGCTTCTCACGTTCCTGACGGTATTTCTCAATTTCATCTTGAGCTTCTTCCTTAGCTTGCTTTAGTCTGCGTGCTTTGCCTATAGAATGAAAATAATATTACATAATTTAATTTGAAACAGTGTAGTATAAAAAGGGAAATAGTGATTTATATGTCAATATAACAATAATATTTTGCAAATAGTATTATAACTAGTAAAGTAAACTCTAAGTAAAGAATAGTCTAGGAAACTTTGTAATTTCAATTTGAAGCTGGACCTATTTCAATACAATTAATTGATAACGTTACAAAATATAATATTGAAACTGTCTATGCAAAGAAAATCATCACAAGATATGTCACATGATTACACACCTAACTTCTATAAAATAATGTTACAAATACAACACTATGAAATAATGTTTTGTAGCTCACTAAGCGATATTACATAAAGATATTCTGATACAAAGATTTAAAACCTTCTCACAATCATAAAATATTCTCAAAACAAAAATTCGCTCTTACGTTTCCTGGCCTCGGAGACTTTTTCAGCAGCCCTTTTCTCAGCGGCAAGAAGTTGTTGAATTCCCTGAGTCTGGCTAGCCATTTTATTATTTTATACCTTTTTGTGCTTAAATAGTACTACGTTTATCTAATGTCAAAGGATTTGGAAAACTAATGATGGACTTCAATGAGAATCTAGCAAGAAATCGACAAAAGTCATATGATGTGAATGACAAGACTAGATTAACTGCCACACGGCGCTGTCGTCGCAAAATCGATTCAAAAATATTTTCCAGTGTTTGTCAAACTGCAATTGCTGTTTTTCAAAAAAACATTCATTTTTATTTAATATTTAAAAATAATTGAAATTGCAAGATTAATAATAACTCTATAAGTTTTTTTTTATATTTGGCAATTTTAGGAATACTTTGTACGCAAAAGAGTTTTCTGCTAAACATTTTTATGATTGAATGTAACTGATATTTTGTAATATATTACATACAGATGCATGCAATTGTAAAAAATAGCTCGAATTTTGAAATAAAGTCCAAGTAAAATCGCAGTCGTATTTAGTTAATATATTTATATCAATTTATGTCAAGAAATAATAATTTTTGCACAGCTTGCTATTAGTTTTATTAGCCTTAACTGTGTTTCATTTGTTTTGTATTATGTTATGCCTATAACAAAAGCAAATCAGAAATAATTCTATGATTAGTTGAAAAATTTCTACTGAATCAGGTACAGTAATTCTTAACTTTTATTATAAACTTAAATTATATTTTACTGAATAAATTTTATTTGCAGAAAAATGTTTGGACTACTGAGCAAGGCAGCTTCCAGAATTGGATCAAGAGTGGTTACAAATCAAGCTAGAAGCATGTCGAACATTGTACGCAATAGAGAACCCCTGCCATTTGATACCAGGAAAACTGGAAAAGTGACATTAGGCTTTATTTTGATGATAAACACGGGAACTGTTGCCCCCTATTTGATAGTATTTTTCCAATTATCAAAGGGCAAGTAAAAATTAATTCTGTCCATTTCATCAACTTTTATCAACTGCACCAAGAACTTATTTGCTTAAATCTACTCAAACAGTATGAAAACTTAATAATGTGTAAACCATTTTATTAACAAAATTAAACTATACAACATGCAATGTAATTTAATACATTGTAAAAATTATAATAAACAATTCATCAAATTATAATCATGATAATTTTTTTCCTTGTATATTATTTTTATTATTCATTCTGATCTTTTCTTGTCTTTTCTTTTCATTTTTGAATGCCGCAGTATTTGCTTTACGCTCAATTCTTCTCTCATGGCGGTATTCTTTCAACAACTTCTTTCTTTGATTACGTTCTACAGATGTCTCATTTTTGGGCCGAATAGAGAGAACACTTAATGTTGACATAACTGATTCTGCACATACAGATTGTGCATCATCTGATTTATCCATTCCTGAATTGAGATTATTAAATTTTGCAAGTGATTTTATTGTTAACTTATTTTCATTATGACTTGCACTAATGGGCATTCCGGTTCGTGCATTAATTTTGATCTTTCTAGGTCCCTAAAAAAAAATCATTTTTAATATGACAGATGCTAGAAAACTTTGTAAAATAGCTATCAAAGATAATAACAAAGATATGGCAATATGAGATTAAGTATGATTGATCAGTATTTTAGTACATACTTGTGGTTCCTCTATAAGACGAGGATGATTGTATAAAGTAGAATATGTAGACAATATACTTTCACAATCCCATTTATTAGAATTATCTTCAACACTCATTACTTCCAAATCTTCAGAATCAGATGATGACTCTTGCTCATATTTCAAAGCTCTATAAAAGATGTTTATAAATAACATCACAAGACACCTAGTGATCGCACTCATTATAGATATTAAGCAGTTAATAGTACCTTTTGATTTCCTCATCTTTATCCATTTTTGTTTTAATTTGACTCTGTTCAAATTCTTTGGCATACTGAAGCAAAACATCGGCATTGCACAAAACTTCCCCTTCAATTTCTTCACACTCCAGTGCACCAATTTCAGTATCATTATAATCTTCATACATCTAGAAAAGAAACTTCTGAATGTTTATTATAAATTATTTTATATTCATTAGTTGTACCTTTTCAAATCTGGAATCAAGAAGAGATAATTGCTCATTTCTTCTCATAACACTACTACTCATTGAATATTCCGTGAAACGTGACTTTGTTTCTTCATCTCGAAATGAAAATTTACCACTGTTAAGAGATCCTACCTCATCTTCCAATTCATCTTCATATTCAGAATCATATGATTCACATTCAGAACCTTCAGATTCTGTATCTCCTATAAAAATTTGTATATCTCAATTGATAGAAAATTTATTTAATGCTTAATTAAAAGTTAAAATAAATATTTTGCATATGAATATCAAAGTTATATTTGTGAGTTAACCATCAAAAGTTAGAATCATAATTATGATGCTTGTTATTTTAATTACTAAGACATAAATAGCTTAATATATCATAATTTTGTCAAATCATTTAGTAATGAATTAATGAAAATATACCTTCTGCCATTGCTTGCAACACAAAATCATCATCAAGTATATTCTCAGGATCTGAATAATCAAAATCATCATCTAACCCTGCAACAATCTGGGTCTAAGTCTGGCCTAGGTCCTGAGTGTGGTGCTGCTTTATTTAAAAGTCTAAAAATAAAATATTATTGAAGAACACTAATTATAAATAATTAATGAATATCTTACCCCTCATTTTCCTCGAACTCAGAAGCAAAAACTGAACTTGGTAATTTTATATTATTTCGGCTTTCCTTATTTTTCTCCTTGTTGGTCACATTAGTAGATAATTCCCATGACATAACATTTTTCCTGGTTCTTTAAGATGCTGCATGTAATCATAATCATCATCATAAAATATTCCATATTTATGTAGTTCTTCACGCTTCTTATCGGGCTGTAATGGATAAATGATCGCTTGTAATCTATTTTTCTGGATAATTTAAGGTTTCATAAATCCTAAACCTACAAACCTTCTTATTTTTCTGTGGAGCTTCGATCAATACATGCTGTGGAGCAGTTTCATCAGCAATTAAAGGATCATGTTGACTCCTATGAACCAAGTTGAAAGTCACAGAATTTTTCTTGTCTATAAATGGCTTTCGTTTAGGCTGAAAATAATAATTATGATTTGATATAAGTTATATTATTGTTAATCATACAAGTTAAAAAAATAATTACCATTTTTATAGGTTAAGTCACATGTGATACTAATATTGAGCAGCTTTATGTTATTTAACTATATCACGACAAACAATTGGACAGCACAAATAAGTTTATAAGCATTTATACAAAGATTGAAAAATCATTCTAATTATATATGACATTAAACAGAAGTGTCAGAAATTATTATAATAACACAAGAAGTAGTGACCAACATTATTAAATTTTCTAGTGTGGCCAATACGACAATACGACGACGTTACTATAGTGTTACCAGACTCAAAATTATGACTACACGGTTCTCAACCTGTTTTCAATTTCGAATTAAGTCAAATTGTTAACTAATGGCCGGAAAAATAATTAATATATTATAGATTTTAAATTATCTCTCATACGACACACTTCCATCTGAATAATTTATACGAAATATATATATGTACTTAAACAATAAAAATTTAGAAACAAGAAAATTCCAAAAAACTTGCTCGAACAACATAGTTTGAGTTTTATTAGAGTAAATATTTAACTAATTAAATATTTAGTTTAATTTATTTTATACATTTAATGTATAAAACAAACAATGCAACATTTTTTTTATTTAATTTAAAAATGAATTTCACTCCGAAAAATGGTTTTCTGCTAGGAAACTGTTTATCAATTAACTAAAGAAAAATTCAGTCTTTTTGCAAAATTTATCCTCTTAGTACTAATTGTATAAATTATTTATTTATTAATAATCTTATCTTCTACATAGGTATAAAATATGAAGATATAGCTATTTACATTTCTCTTATAAAATATCAAAATTTAAAAATTTGTTACATTTTGGATAATATTAGCTTAAAATCCTCTGCTTAATAATTAACAATGACTTTTAATTAATCTGATAACTAAAGATCTTTAATACAAAAAAACAATGAACATATAATTTAGTTTGCTTTAGCATCAGGATGACGTTCAAGAATCATTCCAACTGCATGTCCACCTGCAGCACATGCAGATATTAAACCAAATTGACCATCTTCACGTACCATCCTAAAGTCATAGAAACAATATACATGATATGTTCATATAATCAAAATAAATATTAATACAATATCTTGAAATATACGTCTTTATTATGGGCTATTTCTCAATGATTGAACTTACCTATTTGCAGTATGCATAGCTAAACGTACACCTGTTGCTGCAAAAGGATGCCCAATTGCAAGAGATCCACCCCATTGATTAAACTTATTCATATCAGGGTTTCCCACTTTTTCCTTTCTTCCCATATAATTCTGTGCAAACCAATCAGAATCCATGGCCTTAAGATTTGCTAAAACTTGACCCTAAAAAAAATTAATGTAGTCAAAAAATCTATATTAAAAATTTTCAAAAAAAAAAAAAACATTACAGCAAAAGCTTCATGCATTTCCCAGACATCTATGTCTTTTAAACTCAGACCACTACGTTCTAAGATCTTTGGTGTTACATAAGCAGGACCAAGCAGCAACTGGTCGACTGGGTCTTGGGCAACATACAAAAATTCTCTTAGATAAGCTTTTGGTGTCAAACCTAATTCCTTGGCTTTGGCTTCAGTCATAATGAGGCAAGCTGAAGCACCATCAGTCTAAAGGGTAATTAAAGTTTAATATTTATAACTTATATGATTTTTGAACAAAATTAAAATGTTACAATTTACCAAGAATGATGCATTAGCAGCTGTAATTGTGCCATGGGGTTTCACAAAGGCAGGTTTCAATTTGGCCAGACTTTCTAATGATGTGACACGAATACCATTGTCAGTTTCTACCATCTTTGACACACCTGGAACTGTTTCCACATTTATATTTATTTAGATGTAATGTTTAACAATTGGTTTGCATCTACATATTATTGCTTTCATACAATGATTCAAATTAATTTGTACTAAAATGATTTAAATAATGTAAGTAAGTTGATTATGAATTCCAAAAAAAAACCTTGAAATGGAACAATGTCTGTGAAATATCCTTTCTCCTGTGCATTTTTAGCATATGTATGAGATTTCAAAGCATATGCATCTTGTTCTTCTCGAGATGCTTTGAAAGCAGCAGCCAATCTATCAGCAGAGTGACCCATAGTTTCGCCAGTACTGAATTCTGATACAGAAGGTAACTAAAATAATACAATGAATAGTTACCAATTATATTACAAAGTCATTATTTTAAAAATTATTTATATTTGGTAGAATGTAAAAATCTTAACAAAAAGGATGAAATGAATGAAATGAAATTTTTGATAAATAGCTTTAAGTAGATAAGTAGTTTCAAAAGTTATATAGTATAAAATTATTCCTAAGATAGCAAAGAAAAAATTTAAAAAATATTTTACAAAAACTATAATTTCAAAACTAAATACCTCAGGAATGAAGAAATTAGGTCTAATTGTGGATGCCAACTGGAGTTTTTGTGCTGGAGTTTTTGCTTTATTGGCCCTAAGAAGAACTGAACGTAATTTTCTACTTAACCTAATTGGAACATCAGACATAAATTCTACACCACCCGCAACAATGACATCATAAACACCACTATTGATCAGGCCAATGCCAGTTGTAATAGCCTAGGAATATAAATATAT